GAGTTATCTTATGAGAAGTAAGAAGAAATGCAAAATTAAAGGATATAAACATAGTTTAAAGAGTGCAATTATGAGGCTTTCTTGAATCTAGCACAGCCTGTGTAGGCTGAAAAGGTGACGCGAGGTAAAATGAAAAACAAAAGGCAGCTCTTGACCATTTCCTCATATAATTAAGTTAGCCTAAAATGGATGTGTTTATAATTCCTGCACCTAAGTTAATTGCAGGTAACATCCTTTTTCCATCACGAGAGGCCTTCTTTGTACTAGGAAGGTCCATACTGGCACCAGCTCTACACTGTAGATGTCAGCTCATATTGCTGTGTTAGGGTGTGAAGAGGCATGATCTAGGATCAGCACAGGTTTCAGAAGCCTGCAGAAGACATAGTTATGCTACCAAAAGGATGCTTTTATCAGCGAAGTTTTTTTGGTTTGTGGAGGGTTTATTAATACATGGGAACAATATGAAGCTTTTGCTAGTACAGTTACATCCCTATGACATTTTTGGCTCCCTGGGGGAGCATAGTGCCAAGTTAATGGATTGGCTTTCCTATAGCAGTAATATAATGGAGACATTGCCTGATATATTTAGAAGGCAACCTAAAGTAGCATAGAATAAATGTAAACTTGGAAAAATGGAGACTTCCTTATGATCAATTGGCATCACATACAACTAAGGAAAAAGCAATTAACATCAAACTAATTAGGGAACTTTTGTACCATGTTTTTTACTATTTAGTAATGAAAGTCCAAATGCACCTCTATAACATATTTAACTGGTGTATCATCTCAGAGTCACTTAGCTTATATTAAGTTATACAGATGTCATATTGTGAGTAGTTATTCTTTCAAAGCAGGAAAAAAAACCCAACAGTTCCAGGCTTTTACATTAGTTGTTGTATACTGCACTCCTTACGGCTTTATATTTCTATTTCTATTTAATAAATACATTTAAATCATGTTTTCCTAATCAGTTATGGTGGAGAACAAAGTAACATATGTCTGCGTCTACTAGACTTTCCTGTATTACAAAACATTAAAAATACTGCCGCATCATCCTCATCCCTTGTTACCAAGATACTCATTTCTGGAAAGGGTAAAATAATTGTATGGCAGTAGGATACTAATTTAGGTCATGTCTGTTGAGACATTTCTTGTAAGCATGAAGATAACAAGCTGGTTAAAACAGTGTTAAAAGAATTTAAATACAAATTAATGTTATCCTTTTTTCAGTGTCATATGCATGCAACTGGTGGAAGTCGTCTGTTGCAGTCTAAGTGCTAAAATTTTTCTAAGAATGTATTTACATTTTTATTTATGTCAGTGGATGACTGAATGGGAGCTTGCCTACAAACTGATCACTCTACAAGATGCTGTTAATTTATCTGTTGTTAATATATGAAGTGTCAAGTCATGTGTGAAGAACGACCTTAGGGATGTAACTCACTATTATGCCATGAAGCACAATGCCTGGCTTTGAAGAGGTTCAGTTACCTAAACTGTTTACAACCAGCTTATCTTTCTGTCAGTCAGGTAGCACTAATACAAGGGTGGGCAAAATGCAGCCCGGGGGCTAGATGCGGCCTGCCAGGCCATTCTATCCAGCTCACGGGGCCCCTAAAAAGTTTAGAAAATTAATTAATTTGCCCTGGGCTGCCTGTCATGAGGCCCTCAATGCCTTGCCAAAACTCAGTAAGTGGCCCTTTGGCCAAAATAATTGCCCGCCCCTGCACTAATAGCATTTCACAATTACAATGCCAGTGGACGGAATCTGGCTTCTCTTACCCAGTGTGCCTCACTGGGTTTTTTTACCAGGAAGCAGTCCAAAGCCACTTTCAGAAGGTGAAGTACAAGTACATGGAGTGCTGCTCTGGATGGGAGTAAGTCCTGGGTTCTAGCCTGGCACTCATTCCTGAGGGGGCAGAAACTTTCCCACTGCTCTCCATTCAATGCGTATTAAAGGCAAGAGGCAATCACTCATGTGCTCAATATGCTATGGACTGGCCAGACAGGGATGGGGCTATTTACCCAGTGTATGTGCATAAGTGAGAAAATTGTAACCAGACAGAAACCCCATAACCAGCAGAGAAAGCTCTTCCCATGGTTTAGCTGGGACATTCATACAAGAAGCATCAGGGGTGAGTTCTACACCTCCATGGATGGGGATTGAATCTCCGTTGGGCTTCCCAGCACCGTGCCACATGTCAAGCTTCCTTTTGAAGGTGGTTATTTGGGCAGCCAAAAGAGGGCACTCCATGGAGCAAGGAGGACAAGAACAAGCTAGAATGTGTGTGTGGTCCAGTGAGGTGACTGCTGCTCTGGAGGTGGGCTCTAGCCTGGAACTCATTCTTGATGGGGCAGAAACTTTTCTACTTCTCTCCATCCAATGAGTATTAAAGGCAAGAGGCAGTCACTCAGGTTTAAAAGGAATGCATTGGAGGGGAGAGACTGAAAAATGCCTAACCTAAGGCAGAGTGATTACAGTACTTTGCTGAGAAGTCAGAGAAATAGGTATAAGCCCCCTTCTAGGTAAAAGGTACTTTGAACCCAGGTCTTCTGGTTTCTGAACAAATGCGCTAAGCTACCGGAACTAAACACAGAATAGCCTTCCTTCCTCCTCTTCCTGGCCAACACGTAGCCTGCTGAGCACACTCAGTAGCTCTGTGGATGATCTGCACAGGTAACTTTACAAACAGGGCAGAAGTGCCAAAAAGCTGTGTGTGTTGGTGGGTGAATGCCATCTCAGAGTTTAATGGGGTAAAGGAACATTGCCATTACTTTCTAGCCTCCTCCTCAACCACAGAGGTTTGATGCTGCATCTCCCACTTCTTAGCAAAGTGCTATAGCCACTGGACCATGGGTTGGCCAAATACACTTGCATTTCTTTATCATTGTTAAACGGTATCAAGACTATTTCTGCCCCACTGAAAGCAGGAGTCAAAATTAGAACTCACACCTTCTCTTCCAGGCCAACAACTATCTCATGGAGCCACACATCATATGGCTGCTTCCTAGGTGCACATATCTCCCTCTCTTGGCTACCCAAGGATCATCTTCAGCAGTGATGGGTATGGGCACTACCTAGTCTGTGGCCTAGTTTTGAGCTTGCTGATCAAATTCTCTGAGACAAGTTGGGACAGGGTGGGTGTACTAAAACCCGGATCTCCTACTTCCTGGGCAAGTGTGCTAAAATAGGGTTACTGGGCTGAAACACAGAAGGACTATTGACCTTGTCTTTAGACTCTTTCCTTATCATACAGTAGTTTTTGCCCATGTTAAACCTCAGGGCTTGCCTGGCCTTAACATATCTGTGTAATTCAGGATGGTCATGCTTGCCTACTGAGCAAGGTACTGATAGGAAACTAATGGGTTTTTTTAAAACAATCTTGATGTTCCACTGATCAAAAGTAACCTTTCTTAGGGCAAGTTTGCTGTCTGGTATCTGCCCCTTGTCTCCATCTTCCCTTTTTACAGCGCTGGAGACTCTTTAGCCATTTTCAAAGTCATAGATCCACCTGTGGAGACCATTCTTCAGCAGCAAAGGTTTTGGCTTTAGTTAAGCAGGAAAGGGAAGATGAGTCAGCAAAAGCTTTAGGCTCTGTCTCTGCTCTGTGCAGCCATAACTTTGGAAAAATATTTTCTTCTTCATTCAAAAATAATTATGTACGGATATAGCAAGAATTATATTCTGGGCATGTTGTGTGTTAGAAAATATGGTACTTAGAAGCATCAAACATCTTTGTGGCACTAACTCAATAATCTCAGAGTAAAATCTTTAGAGAAGGGAAACATGCCTTCCCTTAGAGATCCTACTAGCAAAGGCTATTTCCATTTTTGCTGCAGTTGAAAATAATTGTTTAATTTCCAAATTTGTTTCTACGTTCAGCTAGCTGCAAAATACATGAGGAACAATATTTCAAAGTTTAGTTTGGGAGTTTGGGTATTTCCTTCCCTTATGTGCATCTGACCACTATTACTCAAATACAGAAAATGCATTCAGTTTTTTGTGGCTGCCTTGAAGATCACAGAAAAGTACTTTTCAGAAACTTTAATCTAGAACAAGTAAAAATAAACACTGTTTGAAAAGAAAAGTCTGACAAAAATATTCATTTTTGTCTACATTTTTCCAAGACTTTTTTTTTTCCACTGGAGCTGTTTAGTCAACAGCTGAAAAATATCCCACTGGAAAGCCTACCACAGTACCTCAGTTGGAGAGTTGTTTGCATACTTCAACCTCCCATTCTCCCTTATAAACTGTAGGGGAATTTCTGTGTACCTTTCATGAAGCACAATGCTGTCCCCTCTTAAAGAGAGGTAGCACTTTATAAGAGTCTGTGGCTATAGTGCGTCACAAACACTGTCCAGGCAGAGCCCAACACATGAAGAACGAGGATACGAGGCAACCAAACTACAGCTCCTATAAATCTTCATGCTGCATCTGTAAATCAAGATATCTCAGTTTTCAGCCAGACATTTTTAGTGGCAATTAAACTGTAAAAGTTTTAATTCTCTGAAAATCCGGCCTTCCTCTGAAAAACAGTTTTGATGGCAAACATTTTTACCAGCCCTTTAAATGTCATGTGTCCTGATGATCTTGATATAGCGATGGAACTTTTCCATTTGTCTCTTCCACAGGAACTCAGTCAGCAGGAAAAAAAAACTATTTTCTATACAGAACATTCACCCACGGAGACAGCTGTACAAAAGCTACCTAATAAGATCCTGCTATTGATTTGTGAGAACCCAGTTCTGAGAAGGTCTCAGTATTTCAATTTGAACTGTACTCCTTTGATGCAAGTCTGGTTAATCTTGATTCCAAGTGTTAACCTATCCAACACTAGTAACTTAGGTTTTACAGAGCATATTTCTGGGCAGGGGAGAAGTTTGTTTTCCAAAAGGCCACTGGGAGTTTATTCTGAATAGCTACTTTCGTCTTAAGCAATCAATAGGACCCAATATAATGCAGTCTGCTTGATGCTTTGTTTGACATAACTTGTACGGAAGCAAGAAAAAAATTATTTTTATTTTCAGAAGTATACAAAATACAAACTCTTCATTGTACAAAATGTTAAGACCACAAACATTATTAAAACTTGAAAGAGTTTAAAAAACAAACTGGTTATTAAGCAAACATATTTTCACCTGCTTCACATCAGCTTGCTTATATCAACAAAGAAGAAAAACATAGTCTGTCAGCAAAAACCTCACTATCAATTTCACCTATGACAATCGTTGCATTATTCCATTCACTCACAGTCACTTAGAAAAAGGAGGTAATTAAAAAGTCAACGCCACGATAACACTCTGCTAAACTTACTTTAAGAACTCAGCTGTTCTTAAATACCTGAGTTTGAAATGAAGATGACCAGCATTTTAGGATTTTTCCCCTAGTCAAAGCCCATTTTTGATACACCAGGAGACATCCATATGAATACTTTAGATAATGCTAACAATGACCATATTCACTAAACTCTCAAAATCATCTTGGCCAACAAATAAGAATGTGATTTTTTTTCGTTACAAAGTCCTATAATCTGATACACTGAATATTTACTGCATCTCTCCTATCAGATTTCTTATGAAATATAGTTTTTTGGGGTAACAGGCTAACAATAGCAAGTACTGCTAAGAGGTTTCATTACAATACAGCCCTACAGATATTCTTAATCCAGAAACTATTATGTACACACTCATAGTATGGCTGTATCTACTTCAGGCACCTCACTTGAAGCACAGCTAAATTAAAACATAAGGTGATGATGGTGTTACTCTGAATACTGTACTAATTTACATTACATTCTGGTACTAAAAAATCTTTAGAAGTATTATAGGCGTGTACAAATAATTAGTTTCAATTTCAAGAGATGCACAAAGATTAACATGAAGGTTATAAAATAGTGGAGTAGGACCCAGCTCTACAAGACACCAAAAACCCATAATTTTCATGTCTCAGAGTACCAAATGCTCAGCATCTCAGTCAGCATTCATTCCATCATGTGAATGGATACAGTATGTTATTCACCAACATTTAAAACAAACAAACAAGATATAGAAAAACTAATCATTGTATAAAACAGTTTCCACTGAAAGCCCTCAGTGGTATACTTCATGTCTTTCCCCAGAAATTCTCTTTCCTCTTCTGAGCTCGTTCCAGAACCTGAGATGCTAGTGAGCTAGAAGCTGCAGAGCGAGCAGAAATCTGGGACAATCTGTCATCTGTAATGAAAAAGACAAAGAAAAATAAGTATATGCTAAATCCAGAATTAAGACATAAATATTAAAAAAATAACAAAACTGTGGGTAACTTCTCAAATACAAAGGTTTAGGATACAATGTTTTACAGTAATGCTAAAATAAAACACATATTTAAACTATTATTTGTTAACTTTATTGTTGCAAGGGAATCTAATGAGAAAACTGCAAGGTTACTGGTGGCAGTTTTCAGGGAGTTTCAAGGCTGCAGTTTTCACTGAAATCCAGGAGTTGGACACCTAATTCCCATAGGCTTCTTTGAAAATTCTGGCCATTGGCACCATCTTTGTGCATGCTTTCTTGTCGAGAAATATTTTCAATATTTCAAAAGGATTACTGGAGAAATCATCATGCCTTTATAAAGTGTTTTTCCTAGAACTTATGAAGTTGTCCTACCAATTTAAATGAGATAACCTAGTGAGGAGGCTATGGCTAAAACTACCAGAATTCTGCCCCAATACAGAAAATGGTGTGCGCACACACATGCAGCTATTACTTCCCATTTTCTGAACAAAGTGACACATTTAAATAAGAGCAAAGTAAGCACATTAGAAGGTGCCAGCAGTTTTAATTCTGAATCGAGGCTCCACTTAAAATAGATTTCAAAATTTAGGGTCACATTAGCAGGCTGCCTCGAGCATGATACACCACCGTATTTCCCTACGGCTGTTATTGCAAATGTTAACATTGCTCTATTAAAGGTGACCATGATTAGCAACAGCTTTAGATGCATCAATTTTCCTCCCTATTATGAAGAACCAAGCCATATTGTAGCTTTTCAGAAATCAAAACAGATATTGCGACCATAGCCCTGAACAAACTACATTTTCCACGTATTTAACTTATTTAATTTTTACTAGGCTCTCTAAAACTTGCTTTAAATCCTTAAAAGACTTTACCTGAAATAGTCTAAAGCATGTTCCCAGGTTCCACATACACACTAAAAAAGCTATATGAGCAAACTGCTAATTGCCACTGTGCACACTAGTGTGTGATTGGACTCAATCCCAGTTTTGCAGGCCCAACAACAAATTTGCACATTCAAGATTTCTGCAAGTGGGCACAACTGAGTCTATTTCTCAAAGTAAGTTCATACTTAAGTCCCTGTTCTTAGTAACAAATTTTGAGTTGCATACCAAGCTATCATCTAAAGCATGTGGTGAGTTTGTGGGAAGCTGAAAGCAATTATACGATCTAGCATGCTTTATGTAGATACACAGATGCATTGCTGAACATTCTGAACAGCACAGCCCACACACTTTCCAGATAACTGCAGTGACTAAAATAGAGAATTGGCTTAGTCCTCAGCTGCCGCTCACAAGTGCAACTCAAATGCAGCTGGCATAAAGGAACTTTATGCTAAAACTTATAGAAACCTGGCTGGGGCAATGGCAACATCCCAGTTGAGAACCACTGATGTAAACTAAGGCAATACAACAGTGGCTCTCAAACAGGGCACTACCATACATGGACATGCTACTTGGCTGGGGTGATCTAGTTGGGGATGGTCCTGCTTTGAACACAGGGTTGGACTAAATGACTTCCTGAGGTCCCCTGGAGTAGCTTTGTACTAGGTGTCAAGAACCCCAATGGGCCAATGCAGCTGCCAGTGATCACCAGAATCGTAGAAAAGTAGGGCTGAAAGAGACCTTAAGAGGTCATCTCATCCAGCCCCTTACTCAAGGCAGAATCATCCCTAACTAAGGAATCCTAGACAAACAGGCGTCTGAAGTATTTTTAAAGCATTCTTCACAAACCTGGGAAATTACAAGACATAATGCCCAAAACCTAAAAAAACACCAGGGCAGGGGGCAAGAATAATTCTAATATGCTAAACAAAAGGAAGGGAACACAACAAAGGAAGTGTTAGTCCAGCTCTGTCTTACTGGAGGATTGTTTAATGCTATAGAGGCCTAAGGTGGAATATCATGAGATTTGATCTCAAGAGAGTCTGGTACTTCTTATTACTAGTTGAATCAAAGACACCTGAACACAATAGTAACTAACTGTGCACCCTAATTCTGTTTCAGACTGAAACCAAGAAATAAAAGAACTTGTAAAAATGCGTGGGAAGGAATTACCTTTGAGTTTGAAACCAACTGGGCGCATCTACACGAGACATTTACTGTGCAGTTGACTAATTAGCTGTGCAGTAAATGTCTCGGCATCTACACATGCACCACAATTAGGCTGGAGTAAACTAATGCACTCCATAGCAGGATAGAATTTGTATGTACTATCAGGATAGTATATACAAAAGTGCTATCCTGCTGCAAAGTAAAAACTTCACAGCAGCACACGTGTAGATGCTGCCCGGCTGTCTGGGGCACAGGGGTGCTAAGTGCGGAGGCTGCACACTGGACCTCCTCCATGCCCCAGTCAGCCCCTCCACAGCATGCTGAGCTGAGGAAGCAGCCCTGGGCTGGCAGGCTGACCCCTGGAGCCCCCTGCCAGCCAGGCTGGCTCCACCTAGGCTCCATGCGCTATGCCTAAATAAACTGTGGAGCTTATTGCTCCAGATTTAATTGCTCCTGGGCACATGTTCAAATGGTGCACCCAGAGTAATTAAGTCCAGAGCAATAAGCTGTGCAGTTTATTCAGGTGCTGTAATTGCATATGTAGACACAGCCACTGAGTTATATTAAATATCCTGAACCCATAGGTGGAGGAAGAAAATATGATCTGGGGGGCTGAGTGCAAGCACACACTGCCACCCCCCACCACCCTGAGCAAGTAAGTCCGTCATGGGGAAGAGGTATGGGGGAGGCAGAACAAGGCTCCCACAGTGAGGCAGGAAGTGGGGCAGAGGCAGGGGCAGGAGATGGGGTGAATGGAGCCCTGGGGCTGGGGCTGGGGAAGGTCCTGAGAGGCTTGGAGCCCAGGCAGATCATTCAATGGCATGGGGGCGGGGGGGGGCAGAGTTCTGCCACTGTGCACACCCCTGGGGCAGGTACAGGGGGCATGTGCCCTCCCTGATCCGTGTGCAGGGCAGAGGTTGCTGCTGCTGCGGACTGTGCTCCGGGGTGTGTTGCCTGCGCAGCTGTGGGAGGCACGTGGCATCCTGCAGCTGTCAGGACACCGGCAGTGTGGTAGAGCATAGCTCACAGCAGCAGCCGCCTCTGCTCCACACACAGCAGATTGGGGGGCATGTGCCTGCCCCAGGGATGCACACAGTGGCAGG